CGGCAGATGCAGCCAGCTCGTCTACAGCGTTGTTTTGAAACGAGACTAGCACAGCTTGCACCTGTTGAGGAATTTTCGATAGGAAAACTTGTCTGAACAGGCCATCATCGAAGGTTCTTTGGCCGATAACTTCTCTCACACTTTGCAACATGTCTGTGGCAGGACCGTGTTGCAGGTCGATGTTGTTAATGAATTGGTCTAAACTTTGTCGATCGGTTTGATCTACGCGTTCAAGAATGGATCGTTTAAGGGTTTCGTATTGTTCAGAAACATTATTAGTAGACATACTAGGTGTTACGTACCTGTTGAATTCGCGCGGTAGTGCCTTGACTACTGCGAGGAATTGTGAACGTGTGTCGTTCAGGTCGTGCTCGTAGAAGTCGGCTTCTGCGCAGCGAAACCATGCTTCGATGTTGTCTGTCCAGAAGGGCTTTAGTTGGAAGGACGGTGGGGAAACGGTCTTTAACTTAAATATCTTAGGTGTCTGTTTAGTCATAGTGAAATATCAAGTACGAGAATGGACGAGTGGGAAATATATATCTCCGAAAACACGAAAACAATATCACGATGTATAAAAAATTAAAATAAGACAATGATAAATAAAATCCGAAAAAGGAATAGACTCACAGTTTGTAATTCAATGTACCAGATCACGTCGGGCTCACCAATAAAGATGCCACAGGTATTCGGAGTTTGACAACGCTTTAACCAGTAACACCTTATATGAAGCGTACCCACCAAGTGAAATCAAAAGACAGAACAGAGGAGTTTCGAAGATATATTTGATAACGAGAAAACCGCTATGATCTTTGAACGTATATAGCAGACACATCGGAATTGTGTTATCCTAACAGTAGGTTATTGAGGACAAGAGGTATATGTATGTAACAGTATATATATGAGAGGAAATCAGTGTCATACTATGGGAAATGATTCAAATGGTTGTGGACGGAATAGAAGATGCTTTCGCTTAACAGTGTAAATCACCAGCGTAGATTATCTATGTCGAGTGATCGGAAGCCCACTCGAGTTAGATGGGAATGGTGTGACGAACCAGCGAGCGTCAAAGTCACACCTCGTGGTCAGCACCATACGTGGACTACCCTATTGAAGTATCAAGGTACTATAGATGCTTTGAAGACTGTACAACACCAAGGACGTTATTAAAGAAATATATTAGTTAAAGTAGACACAAGCGAAAGTAAGACCACTGCCGCATGGGCCAGTTCATGGCGTATGACTAAGTGATGCACGTTGGTTGTCCTTGACCTCGACGAGGATTGATGAATTGTTCGATGTTCAATGAATCAACTACCGGATGGTTTGTCTAGGGCTCAGCGGAATTTCACTGGCCTTACAACAGGCTTCTGTGTCTAATAGCAGGGGATCACCAGTACCTCCAGGCGGGAACTTAGGTATATTAACAGTACAAGAGAAAAAAGAAATTAGTAAATCATAGTAAGATGTTATCCTTAGTCCTTAAGAATAGATCAAATTACCTCTTAAATGACACCTGAGAAGTTGGTTGGACTAGCTCGGTCGGCAGCGAATTCCAGCATTTGACAACTCTTAAGGAGTAGAAGTTGTCTACAGTCCGTTCTGCTATGTTGTATCTCCAATTTCTAGGTGTTACCCTCTAGGTTAATGTTGTGACTAAACTTAAGTAGGCGTTTAAGAGGATGTTCAGAAGTGTTAAGGATACTGTGAGCCATCAGAAGGTCACCTCTAAGACGCCTATACTCCAATGAGTAATGGTTAAGCGATTGGAGGCTCTCTTCATAAGGTTTAAATTTTAGTCCCTGAACTGATTTCGTGGCTCGCCGTTGGTTACGCTCCAGATTGTTCTTATCCTTCTGGAGTGAGAGAGGAAATACTATATTCCCGTACCTTAAATGGGGACGACTAAAACTGTTGAAGATTATGTGGAAAGTTCTTCCGTCAAACTGACCAAAAATGCATTTCAATGTTACCAAAGCAACGTTTGTCCGAAATGCATTTTTGTCACAGTTAGCGTAAGACTTTAAAACGTAGGGCACCAGGTCTCCTAAATCTTTTTCGACTCGGGATAATACAAGAGAGGAGTTTCCTAAGTTCTAACTGTATTCTGCGATATGTCGCAGATGGACTACATTACACTTTGAAGTGTTAAAGGTAAGTCTGTTATCGTCCACCTAAAGAGCCTGTATATCCTCTTGGTTGCGTATCTCTCTCCAAAGTTTCACATCATTGGCAAAAAGTAATAAGTCTGACGATACCTGTAGAGGAAGATCATCTATACAAATCAAGAAGAGAAGAAGTCCTAGTACTAAGACCTGGGGGACCCCAATTGGACATTTCATAACCTGAGGTAAATTGAAGTTGACCCTGACCTTAAAATGTTGATTTTTCAGATATGAAGTGAGCCAATCGATTAAAGGTGGTTTGGTATCCAATCGTTTGAGCCTATTGATAAGACATATATGGTTAACCCTATCAAAAGCTTTTGAGAAATCAAGGTAGATTATATCAACCTTCCATTTGCGATCAAGGATGCTTGTCCATCTGTCCACTGCGGTCAACATTTTGGTTTGTAAAAAAACAGTCTAAGCACGACGGTGTCTGACTGTTCCTCCAACGAGTAGCCGACTTCACATTTTCGTGTAATCCCAAATCCTCAATGAGGTTGAAGAACCGAGCTTCACTCAGTCTTATATCCACAAGTCCACTTTGTAAATTTGTGATCGGCATTTCAAACTTGACTGTTCAAGTTTCGATATCTGATTAGTATTCATTTTCTTCAATGCACATTGCCAGGCTCCTGGATATCTACGTTTGTGCCTTTTTGTAGCTTGTACAGCGGAGAGGTAAACTTGTCATATATGCGCTTGAATATGTTATACGATTAGTTGATGTGGTGATGTGTTAAAACAAACAAAAACAATTTGTTAAGATATTTCGATGACAGAAATAAGTAGCATAGATATCCAAGCAGCCTGGTCCTTCAAAAGATTTGGAAACTATACATCAAGCAACCCGTACAATTTCATTCTACAACGAGGTTATTATCATGTATATCTAACAGAAAAAAAACTAGTCATCAGAGTCGAATATATGTAGATCTATGTAGAACCATAGAAGGCTTAATCAAGTTAGACGGTAATGATGTGATGAACCAGCTAGCCACATCTCGCAAACAGCATATAGTGTGCATTATCCCTTCAATGTATCAAAGTTCTATGACTGTTTTGAAGACTGTATGGAAATATATGAAGAAGAATTGGTACAGAGAAGAGAGCGAGACCACCACTCATGCGCATGTCCATGACATACGTCTAACTGATGCACGTTGGTCATTTTTGACATTAACAGGGATCGATGATCTATTCGATATTAACTGACCCCACTGCAGGATGATTTGGCTAGGTTTCAGAGACATTTCACTAACTCCTAAATCTAATCTTCATATATTAATGAACCTCACCGTAGATCTCCAGACCTTTCCTATGATATAGATTTCATATTTACGAGGGTTTAATACATAACACGAATTCAAAGTACAATCTGGTGTGTCAAACGCCGTTAGTATGAGCTGAGAAATGACCGTAACCAGGAGCTAACAGAAAGAACTATGGTGTAGATCACCAACGTAGATGATGTATGTCAAATGAACAGAGGCCTGCTTGAGTTAGACGAACCAGCTAACATCGAAGTCATACCTTGTGGTCAGCATTTTACGTCGACTAACCTATCGACGTATCAAGGTATTATAGATGCTTTGAAGATTGTACAACTCCGAGGACGTCATTACAGAAATACATTAGTTAAAGTAGTAATAATAATATATTTCCTCATGAACAGGTACACGCCATTTTTACAGGGATGGTCTACAAATTACAACAATTGTTGGCTTACAGCATGCTTCCCAACGTAATAAGTTTATAATTGTTATAATGTAGACTCGTAGAGCGCCTGCCGTAAAGTATGACCTTGAGGGGACGCGTACGTCAATCTTGTTCCAGACGTCAGAAGTTCCATAGCTGTGCACTCAGAGCAACGTCCTGAAGAAAGAAAAAGGAGAAACAGAAAAGCAGCGAGTGACTTGAATATGAACGCCAAACTTTGCTTAAAATTTTGTAGTGGAACAGACAGAGGTATAATAAATTAGATAAAATTAATGTTATCTCTTGTTAGAGTGAAAGGAAGTCAGAGGCTCCAGATAAGAGAATGTAGTAATAAAGAACAATGAGTTGTGATGTTTAACAAGTTGGAGTAAGCTCCCATGAGGAAATGGAAGTCAAGGTTGGTTCAAGGAAAGCTGTTTATTAGAAGGGAGTGTGCACATAGAAGGTGAAGTATTAAGAATACTAATAATTAATTTTTCGCTTTCTTTTTGTCCATCTGATGCCAGCCACACAATATTAGTGTAGATACCAGCGAAAGTAAGACCACCACCTCACTGGTCAATACGACGTACGATTAACTTAGGCGCGTTGATTGTCCTTGACCCTGGCAAGGATCGATGATCTGTTCGATATTCAATGATCCAACTGCCGGGATTTTCTTTACCATTAACTGTTATATGACAACTATTTATGTGGAGTAACGGATGCTAGAGCTGGTTCATAGAGTGCAAATAATTAGTTCACGTTTGTCATCATCAAGCTTAACTATAGTCAGCAAACATTCCATGGTCCAGTGGTCTGTCGTATAATGTCGAAAGAATTTAGCTTGATGGATAATTTGACTATGGTTCAGTGATTTAAATGAGCTCTGCGTACCTAATATAATCTCAAGATTCAGCACAGTGTATATATTAAAGTATAGTTAAATAATAATATATAGGTGAAAATTTACTGGTTCATGCTCACTTGTCGTAAAAAATAGTATTCATTTTTGTTTAAATCATCTAAATTAACTTTTAAGGTTCATCACATATTTAAATAGGTGTGTTGTTGGTTCGGTAGTTTTCGTGTCAACTTCGTAGAAACATGGTCCTCAAATGTCCAAAGATTCCTTGCAACATGGTAATAGTGTCGGTTTATTTAAATTCATCGTAGTGTATAGGAAAGGAAGAAAAAGAACTTGTTATTCGGAACTTTGACAGTCATTGGAGCTGTTCTAATTCAAATAACTTTTGGTTACTTTTATACAATCGGTAAGATCGTTAATTTTTTCTAAATCTGTCTCCTACAGCGAATATGGTTCCGTATATTTTGAGTTATATTAAAGCTCGTGTTGACCCCAATGTACAAAGTCAATCAACTGTTTGGCTCTCAGCGCTTGCACTGGCATCTCAAGGATTATCAATGGCACTTGGTGGACTCTTGTATCAAAAAGCTGGTTTCCGTGTGGTTGTAGGACTAGGATGTTTACTACATAGGTATGTTTTGAGATTACAAATTTCAAATTTTATTTGAAATTATCCGGAATTTATTACATATCCATGATCATGTGTCATTTTTCCAGCATGAAGATAATGTCAGCAAAGTATTATTCTTCATTTCGCGCAAATAGGATGTAATTCAAGTGATGTTGGTTATCAATTTATGTGTAGTTAAAATGAAATTTCCGAAAAATTGTCCTCTTTTCAGTAGTTCAACTAGTAGAGTAAAGCAACCGAATAAATTTTAGAGTTCACGAGAACAGGAAGACAATAAGAACGATTATAAGGGTTAAAAATAAAATCGACATATGTTGTGTTTATTTGTGTTTCATGGCAAATCATCATTCTTATCTCTTATCACCAATGAATATCGTATTTACACAGCTTCTTTCTTTATTCTTTCATTAAAATGGTGTACGAACGGCAGAACGTTAAAATTTTAGTTTTTGTCCTACGTCTGGTTCGTAATCTTTGGTTTAATTTGCTACTGACAAACTTATCGGCTAATCAAAACTCAAAATTACCTATTTCATTAGCACTATTTACTTTTGTGTTGTTACAGATTTGTGCAGTATTAATCTAGAATACGGAAGAGTAAAATTCAATTTTAAGATAGTATTCATCATCTTCGTATATTTACTTTTATGAGGTCTTTCACTTAACTTTCAGTGGAAGTGTTTTCTTAACAAATATTACAATTCAAAGGACTTTCATCGGTGTTATTATAACATACTCAGTACTCATGGGTTTGGGGCTTGGATTTGCATATTCGGTAGTGATGGGAGTAGCTGCGAAAGTAAGTTTTGGTAATTCATATTAATATTAAAGTTAGGTGACCTAAATACGTCTTCTTTTAATAGATTATGACGTTGAATGGTTTGTTCTAAATATAGCTTAATAATTTGTTGTATTTTTCAAAGTCCTTTGCTATGATTTATAAAGCGTTCACACGACTCTACTGAAATTTTATCAATTAGGTTAACAACCAAACTAGAGCTATATGTTCTAAATAGTTTTACTTACTTTCATGGTAACTGAAAAACTTAAAAACGGTTGTATAGTAATTGAGTGGATTGTCAAAACCTTCACTTGGATTACAGTTATAAACCATTTTCTTTATCTTTTGTATGAAATTACGCCGCAAAAACTAGGATTATTGACGTCTTTTGTGCTTGTTTCATATTTATTTGATCCATAATTTTCAATTTTGTACATCTAGTGGTTTCCAAAACGACGATTTCTCATTGTTGGTTTAGTTGTTGGTGGATTTGGACTGGGAGCACTTGTTTTTACGCCCATTCAGACAGTACTTATCAATCCGAACAACATACCGGTGAATCCCACTACAAAGTGAGTTTTTTTCACTTAAGTGAAGGGTTCATGTATACTGTTATGTAGCCGTTACGTAATTGTTGCTTAATTTAGTCTGTCGATACATGTTAGTCTGCCTATAACACAAAACCATGTGCTTCTCAAACATTTTTTTAGAAGAACATTGGACTAGACGTAAAAGAATATCCAAGATTTCCAAACTGCAATAAAATCTAGACATGCCAAATGTTCTTTGACTTTCTATTTCAAGTGACCAAGTGACATGATTTTTCCGTTTAAAATCTGGCCGAAATCATGCAAATAGGTAAATCACCAGACAGAAGTAGGATAGACCACCGAAACATAACGGCGATTCATCTATTAAGTACATGGATATAGTTTGTTCCTTCAAAATTATTAGACGGACTGTCAAGTGGTGCATTGCCTGAAAAAGTCGTACAGTTTTGGAGAAAAGGAAAATTAAAATGATCATATGTATGAGTAATGTTATGCAAAATCATTTTAAATATCATGAACCCCGAATGAAAAATCCACCCATACTATTTCTAGGAAATTAAAAGAGTCACTTTGATTTAAGTTCTGCATGTTTTTTCACATTAAATAATGGTCAACAGAAAGTAGAGCGATTCAACTCGACTTGACTTATCAAACAAACACCTTAACAATTTAGTATTTTCAGGGCTCCTAAAGATGAAATTGTATATGGCAAGTTAGTTCTTGGTGGTTTAATCAAATATATATTTTGGTACAGTATTTGTGTGGGTCTTTAAATAGTTTTGGAACAATTATTACAAATTAAAACATATTTAGCTAACCACTTATGATCATGAAGATTGCAATCATTCCTCCATTTGTTAGTAAAATTTTCTATGAAACTCAAACAAAATACAGCTGCGCCTAAATAACAACAGCATCAGAAATTCTCAGTGACTGAAGAACTAAATGGGACCTAGTAAAGCACGTCTTATACTACCGACTGTTCATTTATAACTGCTTGATTTCATCAAAATCTACATGAAGCTACAATGCATCTTTCTGACTAAAATGTCTATTTAATTTAAATTTTGAGCTAACTGAACGCTTTTAAAATATTTTAAACTATCAGTTGCTAATTTCTAGAGATTCTTGACGGGCAAGTTAGATGTTGTAATTTTTTTTATAAGTACACCTATGTAGAGTTAATGGCATCTGTTTATGTTTTTTAATCAAAAAACAGTAACAATAATACACAGGCTTGCATACAAACTGCCCATGTTAGCGACTAATGCTTTGGATCTACCCTCTACAGTATCAAGCTTTACCTTCATTCTTCAAAATTATCTACTTTCCTTGCCCTGACAACATGAGTAAGACATATAGTCAATTGCAAATAAACGTCACAGATTCATGACCAAATATTTCAAAATTTTGGCTTTAGTGATTTATTATCACGAACGACAATCACAGTAAAATACTTATTCGGAGTCAAAAATATCCAAAATAACAGTTTAAATGTAGTTACCTGCATCTCAAAGAATCGAGAATTGTGCAAAAGCGGTAGAAAGGAACTTCATAACTTGTATACATACCATACTTTGAAAAATTGGCACTAGAATAGTAATTACGGACTTAATTGACTCAGCTTATCAGAAAATATGATTTCATAAATATAGACCTTATAAAATTTTAAAAGTAGGTTGCTGAATATATTGCACCAATACTAAAATAATACTGAGAAAATTTATTTAAAGATAACATTTTACTGACTTCCTTTTAGAAGCGGATTTTAGTAAATAACATGTATATAGCTCGAGTAGTAATTTTGTTTATTATATAGCAAGTTATGTTTATCTTTGCTCAATATACTAATAGCTTAGGTGGCATTAAATTTTCTAAGTGAATGAAAATCCTGTAGGAATTAATGGGTGATATTAGGCAAACAAAACCTGGAAATGTACTTTAAGCATCTAAAAAATACAGTAGGCATAATAGTAGGCCTTTTTTAACACTTTTTCCTTATTTGGTTGCCTTCAAACTTGGAATAATATTTTTTGATTTTTTATATCACTTACAAAGGCTATTTGACGATCCTGAGATATTAGATAGAATACCAAGAGCATTTCTCATCTTAGGCGGGATTTTAATTAGTGGGCAAATAGTTGGTTTCCTCCTCATGAGCGAGAAAAAACAAAAGGTAAGTAAACAGTTAGCAGACTTGTTTTGTTATTTCAAATCTTATATTATCTTTATTCTAGATTAATTTAATCTTCTTTTGACACTGTTAGCTCATAGCCATGAAAATCACCAATGTGGCGTAAAAATCAGTTTGTGATTCTAACCATATGGTGGGATACGTTGTAAAAGAATGAATAGGACTCGACTAATTAACGGCTTATCGACTAACAATTTGTTTGGTGTGAATACAGGCAATATGCTGTGCTCTTCGAACAATCTGTGATCATTTCGTACGTCACGAAAGTCGTTTCAAAGGTTTTCGTCTGATCTGATCATTAATTTACATTTTCTGCAATGGTGTAAATTATAAACCTCAGGCAAATATGTGTTTGGTTTCGGCATCTAGTCTTATCATTTAAAGAATATGATAAGTTGCCACCAGTTATATAAAATTTTATATTTTAATGGTGGGTGACAAGCAGTAGGTAAAATGTCATCAGTAATGTTTGCATTTGTTAAAAATTCTGAACAAATTTCTGATATTTTGATAAATAGTTTGACTTCAGTATACATATTGATGAGGAGGCTGAATATACAAAAAGATAGCACGGAATTTCGACTGACTTCAGTATTAAAGTTGAAGTCTTTCATACCTACATTTATGAGTAAGATAAAGGTTTTTCTATTTGGCACTTAAAAACAGTAGTTTTTGAAATTACTGCACACGATATTATCTTGTGTGTTGATAGTTAATGAACTCTGCCTAAATTATGAAAGATGGACTTCTTGATATGTGAATTCTGATTAGAAGCATTGTTATTTGCTTCAACCGTCAATGGATACCTTTATTCTATATCAAAAGTATGAGAAATTAGCATATGGTAGTTCATTCTCTTGATTACGTCCCAGTCTAACAACAAATCTTACTTACAAGATACTTACGCCTGTTACTCCTCGTGGAAAAACATAGGCCACCCACCAGCACTCTCCATCTAACCCTGTCCTGAGCAATCCTTTTCAGCTCTTTCCAGTTGTTGTTAATCTTTTTCATATCTGCTTATATTTCCCGACATATGTAACTCTTCCAGAGTTACTGTCGATCCCAAGCCCGGGTAAAAAGTAGGGTTGGGTATGGGGTTAACGACCTCATCCCGTAGAAAACTAACTCACTAAAATCTATTAAAACGGGAAAGTAAATATCTAATAATTACCTAAACTCACTAGATAGGTGAAATACCGACAATATTATGCCTAAATGAGTTGTGAATGATTCATGTAATCAAATCAATGAAATTTCTTTGATACCATTGATTATATGCTTTCATCATTATTGTGTAATCCTATCCATTTTAATGTTTCTTGATCAAGTCATTGCTTTATCATCTATGGTAGTAAACTTTCATTTTCTGAATTGTTTGATTTCTGAGCACCGTGTACGAAAACTTACTACTGTTTGTACTTAAGAAGGTATCGGTCGGTCTTAGGAATACTTAAAACACAAATTTATTTCATGAACTAACATAACAATTAAGTGCAAACAAGAATAAAAGTAAAGTTATGTCGCTTCTAAACTGCACACTGAAAACGCATTGTTGTACGACTCTGAAGCGAACGATTACTTTTACCTAGGCACATTATTTTATTACAGTCCTTTTATCATTGTTTTTGATTATATAAACTCAATTAAAAGCAGTTTCATACAAAAGCTTTACTAAGTTTTGAATTTAATGTAAATAATCTAATGCAATTGAATCTAGAAAAGCCAAACTTTCAATTATATAAAAATACTCATTTCTGAAAGTGTGCATAACAATTTCATGTTCAGTGAACAAGAAAATCTATGAATTTGATTTTTGACCAACATTAAATTAAAAACCGGACTATAACACTTCGTGAGTATGTATGCGATAGAAAGAAAGCTAAATAAATTATCGTCATTTTACATAATGCAGCGTATTTTTACTTTTTAGGATAAACCTGATACTGCTAAAGTAAATACTAAGTAAGTTATTCTATGCATCTAATTTTAACTCATCTATCACTTAAGGAATATATTTTAATATACAAATAGTATCATGAATTTATCGTTTCGAATTATTGCGATAGACTATTATTACTTTTGAGTAGTAAAATGCCGTAAATTCGGATAAAAATATTCCGAATGAATAATTTGTTGGGTTCCATTGAAATCTTTATTTGCTAGTAATGCACTTATTAAAACTGAAAATAGTGAGGTAATAATGTGGTTAACCTGACTCTTAAAATTCCTCTCTGTTATTATGAACAGCGTAAATTTCCTCTGACAGTTCCGTTAATGATCAAGGTTGGACTCCACAAAAACAGTGAGTGCTCAGTTGATTCAGCTTTTTCAAAATACCTAGTTTCAAAGCTGACTTACTCTTCAACATTTAGTTCTGCTTCGTTGGACTAAATATCATCAAAGTTTAATTATGTGAGTTGATTTACTAGAAATTCATATATGGACGTTTTGTATATCACTGATAGATATTGCATATTACAATATTTTAAATAAATGTTTGCTTTTTCGTATTAGGGTTATATTCTATATTTTAGAAGTATTACAAATCCTAAAATATATCACAAGTAACCATTTATATTTTAGCCAAATCAACATACCGCCTAAGCAGTTATTCCGTAAAATTGACTTCTATTTGTTATGGATAGTAATGTTCTTAGTTATTATCCCTATCACAATTATCACATCAGCGTACAAGGTAAGTGATTATGAAGCATAATGTATGTATATTTATTTGAAAGTTGGCAAGTAGTTGACTTTTTATTACTTTAGTCTCTATTAATAAAAATTCTAAAATATTTATTGTACTTATTTGTTAGATTTGATTCTATTTGAATAAGGTATGTCGCTTGTGGATTACAACTGTAGAACACTGTAAGAGTAAAATAATGAAATAACTCAAAAAAATTTCACCCTTCGAAGTTACTCTGAAAAGGATAAAGTTAACTGCTTCTAAAAAATGTAGTTTAAAAGTTAGCAACCCTCCATAGGTTTACTATCTGGATCTTTATGTTTTTTGTTTCATATATATAATCAGTATATCTGTATATTTTGATATGCAGTTCAGTATTGTTATTCAAATCCTTAGTTATTCCGCGAACGCAAAGTCGGAAAACATTATTCATGTAATGATAGACGATATTCATAGTTCAGTTTGTTTATTAGGCTATTAATTCCAGGTGTGCATAAACGTTTGTAGCAAACATTGGAGGAATTCCTTGAATTCATTATTTGCGAGTGCATGAATGATTTTTCAAAACTAGGAAAATATCTTCACAGTATTCGCTTGTTCTCTATGAACTTCCGGTTGATATCGATTTATGGCCAAAACAATATTTAAATATTAGGAGTGTTAAACAAGTGTTATGAGAAATATTACTTAGAAAACGCGTCTGTTTTAGTATTGTTTGAAGAAATTTACTAATGATAAACATTACAACTGAATTTCCGATTACAAATCCATATTTTACAATACTATTTTTATATATTTTAGCTTTTTGGACAAGAGTATATCAGTGATGATCAGTATCTATCTATTGTTGCCAGTATAACAGCACTTTTTAATGCTGGTGGTAGGATTATGTGGGGTGCTATAGTAGATCGCATTTCGTTCAAGGTAATGGTTTAACTTGGTCAGGTATTACTATCTTTACTACCAAAGCATTCTTTCGTGCTATGACTGATTTGTATTTAACCTGTAATTGGCACTGAGCAACATGTCTCATGTGCTAAACCAACGTTTTCTTTCAAATTATCCAGTTGATGCAATAGATATAATCAGGCTACTTCTACGTTTGACGAAATGATTCACTGTTTTGTCATAAGGACTACCACGAATCTACTATAACTTGCATATCTCGGAATCCATGCATTAATTGAATTTATTTGGTCCAGTTAATTGTCGTTGTTCATTGTCTGCTTGTATTGTCAAACTGAGATTCACATTTGAGTATATACACACATAAAATAACAATTTAATAAACCATACTATATATTATTCATTCCCAGAAATTACTACGTTCATTTGATGTTACAGGTTGACAAAATATTTTTTTGATGGCTAGTAGTTGTCATTCAGTAGCTTATTTAGAAACTCATGAGGTGGATACATTTGTACATGAGTGCAATAGTGTTGTAAATTTGAAATCCCTATAAGAGGGAATAATTAATCTATGTGTGAAGTGCTTCTTGTAAATACTTTCTGGAGAGTAAGAAATCAACGGCTTGATTTCTAGCCTGTTCATCTCACAAGTCCATCGGTAAAACATACAATCTGATTTTACATCCAAACGAAGATCTGTTTCACGTTATATGCATTCAGGTGAGATTTCATTATGTGAAAGGCATAGACAAAGAAAAAGGAATGTTCTCAATGACTATACATTTCCCACTTGAATGAATATAAATTTAAAAGTCAATACTAATTAGGTAGAATGTATATTAATTGTCATGCAAAATAATCTTTGAAAGCTGTATACTTTTGAACGAACTATTTAGGCTTACAATCTGCACGTAAATAATTAACTTATTTCTATCATATAATGTTACCTTAATTTCGAATTTTCAGATTTTTACTTTAATTTTTTTTTATCATGTTGTTGGGAAAGTTTACAAATTAGATCTATGTCCAAGTTTACTAGGTTTTTATTTAGGGCTAACCACGTTCTATCAGCTGTGATGTGGTATTCATTCCTATTTATGAGCCAGTTACTTTAACTTATATTTCAAATTGATTACACGATACAATCTGAAGAAACGGCAGATGAACATGATTAACTGATCATTACTCCTGTTTTCAAAAAGTTAAACTCATCTAAAACAAAAGAACGTCTTAGGTTTTACAAATGTCTGATTGAAATGAGCTTGTGCAATATTTACATCAAAACATATGCTATTGTCAAATAAAATAACTTACTACAATGTCGTTTATTTTAAGCAGCTGAAGAATAATTAGTCAAATAAGATTGTTTGAAAAATATATTCAGATTATATAGTTTATTACCAACATCTGTAACAAATCCTATGTCAGAAGTTAACGACTCAATACACTGAAGGTGAAAATATCTTCTAATGAAACCTGGTTTTGAGTTGAATAAAATGTTTTATGCAGTAGTGAATATTAGCCGAGATTAATTCTTACCGAGTAACTTTTTTATTATTAACGTATTTGGTTAAAATCCAGTTAGCTAATTGTTTCTATCTACTACTAAATAATGGTTATCATGATAATATATTATTTCACTTCTAAATCATAGTAAAATTTTGTACTATTTTATAGTTAACCAGAAACTGAATTAAAGTCACTATGATTATTTGATTTGGATTGCAGATCGGAAAAGTAACTAGTAATTATCACTAACCACTGCTTATAAGAATGGATTAGTTGTTACAGTTCATTATATACTTTACGTAGATCATCTATATCAACTGCATTAGAACAATAACTTATTAGATTTTGTTTAACACGATAATTCCTAGTACAGATTGTTCAGAAGCATATGATAGCTAAACAATATGATTATCTGTACGATCAATATTTATGCAGAACTAGGCATATAAACATAAATTATTAAAGGCATTGAGCTGAGAAACTGTTCTATCAACTTTTATTTAGGGATTTACATAATTCATTATTATGCTTTTTTATTATACCCATTTTCAGTTACCATTGTGCATTGTGTTAATACTATGGGCTATAATACTTTTCACATTTCCACATATTGGAGGAATACCAATGCCGGGTCTTAAAGCTGCATACGCAATTTGGGTGTGGGCACTATTTTTGGTACTGAGTGGAGTGTTTGTTATTATGCCGGGTGGTACAGGAAATATATTTGGTCCTACTTACTTTGCCATAAACTACGGCATTGTGTTTACTGGATTCGTAAGCTAAATCTTAAGTAATAAATTTTTAATGATGTACAAAAAATGTTTATTATTAAGATTTATATGTTTAGTAGTGCCACTTATGTATAACTCATGTATTAATAGTTTCAACCAGTAATCAATGAATTTCGTTACTTGATTCCTTTAGAATGAATATTTTTATTTGTATTTTCGACCACATACAGTACTTTTAGCATGGAATAATGTTAAAATAAACATATTGAATATGACACAAAAGTCATGTAAATGAAAAACGTAGAATGAAGTTTGTTTATTTACATAAAAAATGTTTAACCATTCAAAACTTATGAAAACTTCATGTGTTAGACAATTGTTTAGAATTCTCTTAATGTAAATAATTTTTGTTAATGACAAAGGTTTATTGGTCAAATTGATAATCATTATAAGAGAATGTCATACAATTAATCCGTACAGGCTATTCGAATCTTCGCACTGATATTTAGGACTACAATAAATCGCTCTTTAGATGAATGCTCATACTGTGTGGATTGCTTCGATGTTGAAATTGAGCAACAAGCATCATAGGCATAGTTGGATGGAGGTTGACAGTGAAATCTAGGATGAGTAAACATTAACTCTGGGATAAAGACGCCTCTAACTGACGAGTTCGAAATAGGACAAAATGTGCGTCCTGAATTTAACTGCTAGCCACCATCGAACTCTGCTTAGGATGTCATAAAGGTTGAAAACCTAATGTTATTTGCTACCAAACGTCTCTGAGTAATCATTTTAATCAAAAATATCATATCGATGTTAAGTTATTCAATGTTTTTTCTTTCCTTTAAGACTGTCGGAAGTATACTATGTTCTGTTATCTCAATGTTTATACATGCACCTAATCCTTACCTAGTACAGTTCAGTGGCTGCGGAGGTGTATGCTTACTCGGTATGTTCTTAACCTTTACATTATCATGAATTTAACAAATCTAATCGATATGAGATAATGCCATTTATTTTGTAGTTAGTAATTGTCACTTCCTCAGTATGGTTCCTTGTATAGCTTATTTCTTATTAATAAGGCATGTTTTCAAAAGCAAAAATAGTCGTAAGCAAAGCCGAATCACTTGTAATACGTTTGCACGTATACTAATATTTGAGTCAGCTCAATAAATAAGTGGGGGTCTGTAAATATATACGTTGTGTTCGTATTAAAACAATATTGTTGAATGATTCCTCGTTGTTAAATGAATGTCGGTTACTAAGTTTTCGCCTAAAGATATAAACTCGATTACCCCTTGGTAGCTCGAGATGTCTTCTGTATTGCAAGTACAAACCTGGCATATAAAGTTGTTTCATGTGTACTGATTAATGAAAAAACCTCACCTTTACTAGGAATCATAACTACACCACTTTTTTTCTGAAGGTTCAACATATCATCTTGAGAAGTATTAGTCAGAAGTGCCTATCATACCAACCTAAATCAGTTCCTGAAAATGAGCCTGTCACATCATTTGAATTCTAAAATACATACCTCTTTATTTTTAAGGTGATTAGAGCGTAACTAAAAATAATATGTATTGTCACTTCATGTTTGTCCTGTCGAATTTGATGAATGAACATATGCTCCGGAAAACATTTCCGTGTTTTTTATTTACAAATCAATTTTCAATAGTACTCAGAACTCTCTAATTAGCTCACAAAGTTTCCTGCTAAACTCTTTGGTATGTGGATACGTGTTGATGAATCACTCACTTTGACAAATTTAAAGAAGGAAATTTATACGAATATTCGTCAAGATTAGGACGAATAGTTTGACAGGAATCGGGCGCCGAGTATAGAAAAGTCATTATACATGAAAATTATATTTGAAATAATCTCAGCGATTGAAATTCAAATAATTCCAAAGTTTCGTTCAGCTAACTTGTCTGAACTTCTTCAGGGTAATTTCAATCGCCGAGATTATTTCAAATATAATTTTCAAATTTAAAGAAGGAAAGTTGTGAAGTATGTTGAAATCATAATTGATGAGATTAGTGAAACTTTTAGCATTTCCGATAGACTTTTTTTAACCATAGTTACTCGTAAAACACTAAACAATTTTAAAATTCATCTTTTTTCCTTAGAAGGATCTAAAGATAAATAATGAAGGGTGAACACTTTCCTTATGTGTAGCTTTCAAGCCTTTAAGCTATATGGATGGAGATTCTATCTTCAATGAAATTCTAATGATCTGTTTTCTAAATATTCATTTTACAGCATTCTTGTTTGCGATTTGGATTGAAGACAAGAAGATTGTCCCAAAAGTTGACTGTATACCTTGTGTAAGAACGTGTCCAAGTTTGAGAGTTCGCAAAAATAGTGAAAATCAGGAGGATAATGCATAAGTAAACTTTTGCATATATGATCGTCAATTACAAATCTCACTAAAAAAATATTACTCACCACATGTGTGATAGTTTGTTTTAAAATTTAATTACTATTCCCCTTATGGTTTTTTACTGTGTTCTGTTTATATCCTTTAATATGTGTATAAGTTACTTTATCATTTATTTTCTTAATTTGGAAGAATTTATATCACAATTCATATTTATTATTTTTCTTCGGTTTAATTTTATGCAGAAAATGGTCCCTCTATGTAGTTTAATGAAAACTATCATAATACACGTTTTTGTTTGAAATCGATACTAATTTCTGTTCAAGCAAACTAATGTTCAATCAGGTTTTGAAATGCATAATCAGGCATTTCTTTTTCTACTTTTTTAAATACAATATTTTTATTATTCAGTCAAAAATAAGAATATTTTTACAAACATTTACAACTAATAGTATTAAAAAATATATTATTGAAAGCACATATAATCAATAAGCACAAATACTGCTATGGAAATCAAACAACAATAATAATAATAATGTTTTTCTCTTTTGTCTCATCAAACCAATGAAATTCCTCTTTCTTTTTGTTTTTTTTTAAAAAAAGAAGAAAACTGTTAATAAATTTTGAAATTCTGTCATTTATTTAACCAAACCAATTCAATTGAAGCGCTATTTTGTTCATAGTTTAAAACAGTATTTGATTAATACAAATTATGCTAAATTCAATGTGTTCTTGTAATTTATGCTAAAGCTTCATTGGTGAAGTATCGTGAATCGTAGGAGTTTTATATCCAAATAAGCTAATTAATAAACTGTTTTAAATCAAGTTAATATATTCATAACAATATTGACAGCTGAATTTATATCCAGTTCAAAAATATTATTATATGACATTAGTGATGTTTGGGAATAAATTATTTTGGTTACGTTAACTTTTACGCAGCCAGTTAAATTTGATATGACGTTTGACATTAATCCAACATAAGATTTTTATATGCAAATACATAAGTTATATAGATGATAAAATATCAGATCCATAATTCTATCCCTTGATAAACAGTATAATATAGAGAAGTTAATCTTTGTAATTGATAAGGAACCTGAAAACATAATGTAATCTCTAATAACATCAAAATGAAATGCAGTTTGTTGTTTCTTCGTTAAGTAATGAATTGTATAAACAGAGATAACTTGAAAACACTAATATAAAGTTTGGAAAAATTGTATTTCGGCAGACTAAATATGATATAACCCGAAATAAAATAAATAGTAACCGTAATAAAAAAGGTCAAATTAATTTTGTTACCTTCTATGAACTCTATAAAAATGAAGCTTACCAATGTCTCATTACGATTTATGTGAATGCGAAGTATTTTAAACGAATATAAACGTGAGTTAAAGAAGGCGTATCCAGTTATTCAATGTTTAACAGTTATACAAAAGGATTTACATTATTTATTGGATAAATAGCAAGAAGATTCAACTGATCTATTCAAAGTGAACACTGAAGTAAATAAAGAAATATTTATGAACGTAATTATCCTCATAGAAGTATGCTACTAAAATGGTGTTAGGTATTTAGTAAAAACATAAAATCTTTGTTGTACTAAATTCTCTGTTTAGTGTTCTTAGTTTACTAATATTTCTTCAGTTTGTCATTATTCAATTCGAATATCAAATTGCACTCACCTTTTCAAGTTTTTCTATCTGAATAAATCCTGTTTAAAAACTTTGATTATGATAATTTTTCATTACTTCATGCATCAAAGATTTTACTTGAATTCTTGTCACAGATTTTTTACACTTATGAGTAGATAAGATGACCTTCATTATCTTGATAAATAGTGCACTAGTTCGTACCATCTAAGTAAAATAAAATTACATTTAATAGAGCTGACATATTAACAAAACAATGTTCATTGATCAAAATTATGTCGTTTTTTACGTTAAGTCCGAAAATTAAAACAAACAAATTAGTTTTCAATCTTTCTTAACCCTAATACATATGGTTCTTAAACGTTACAAGCGTACTAGTTTATCATCAACTAACAGATTTATCTGAGTTGTTCTAGAATGACCTCTAATATTATAAGTAGTCTTGGCGAAACGATCTCTAAATGTTTCCTTGTTATAATTTCTCATAATATGATTGATCAAAAGTCCTGTAAAAATATGTAGTCTTCTTTTTTATAATTTATCTTGCTTTGGAAATCCATCATATTTTTAATGATACAACAGTTGACGCTTTTACTTTTGGTGCAGACTATGTATGATGAGCAACGAATATTATGCCGATTCAGTTGATGTTGCTGATTTAATGAATTTGATATGTAGGTATAAGTGGAATACGCGTTTTACATTTTATCTTACGTGGGATATATCATATTGATGTACCTGCATACAACTTATGAAGTTGAAACTACGACTGACGGACTGTAATCCTAAATTTCAGCTGCAGGAAATAACAGACTTTGACATAACTTACTGTATTCCGTTCAAAACTCAGTTCAAGAATTACATCTGACTACTATAGTCAATATATTCATAAAATAAAACTTCAGGTTTTATAAATACTTGGGAACAATATTTAAACTAAACTATTTTACCTTAACAATCAGTCAGTTAGACAGACGAAGTTTCGAATTTAAATGAAAGATAAGACAGTGTAATCAACCGAACAAAAACGTCTGTAACCCAATAAGGTTGAATGATTATCAAACACAGTAACTAACTACTTGCATTTGATATAAACCTTTTTATTGAAGTTTCATTAATTGAATATACATCAAAGCAATTCAATAATTAGCGAATTTCCAATTGTAACCATGTAATCATTTAAAATCAGAACATTTCATCTTTATGAATCGACCCATATGTTATGAATGATGATCACAATATCTGCATTGTGTACTGTAAAATGTATTAATATTATCTTCTAGAATAGTGATCATATATTTGTACCATTCTAAAAATAGTTCTGCTACAATGTTTAAAGTACACTTTGAACTAAAACAAATACTATTGTAGGATAGATACAAAATAAATCTATGACTCCACACATCTCTACATATCTTCTAGGCAAGAAAAGAATCAATGAAATATCACTTGATCATATTATCTCATATTTGTACTGCACGGTATAAAGGAACAAAATAATTAGCATACGCATACAAAATATGTAGTGGTGTTGGACTGATTCTCCCGAGTACACATAACTACGCAAACAAAATTTATCAACTAAGCAATTACTCAATATTTTATCAAGGAATAATATGAAAGCCGAGTTGGCAGTTCTAAATCATAACTTTTCTAAGAACTCACTCTTATGAAATGAAGATAATTCAGTAAACATTCTATGAAGAGAAATGTTTAGTACATTTTTAAAAGAATATGATTGATAACAGTTTTATTATGAGGAACTACGTTCATTTGAATTCACATTGATACTCATTTAAACCTTAATATACAAGGGAAAACAAGACTATGAGTTCAAACCAAGCTCTTAGTATTTTACTCATTTCAAATTACATGAGCGATGTGAAATTTAAATCATTAAAAAAAGTAATTGTTTTATTAGTTCACGTGTACCGAAAATTATTCTTTATTTAAATAAACAATAAATTAATGAGTTTAAAATGACTTTTCTGCTCATAAATCACAACTTGACTTTTAAATATAAAACTGGGAGCTTAGTTTAAAGAGCATACATTGAAAAGCCTGAGAAAAATTACAACGATTCCTTATCGATGAAATATCATGGGATGTACATGAGTAACTTATTTCAGTATATTACGAAGTAAGCTTTTCTATTTAGATATAAATGAAAGAGGTAATATTGTAGTTTAGTTTTACTTCATATTTATTATTAGTAAATTTAAGAAAGAAATAACGACGTGATGTTCTTTCTTTACATATACACAAAAATGCTATTCTAACAACAAGGTTATTCAGTAAAATTTCAATCGAATATTTTATTTATAGAGAGTTTCATCATACACAAGTTAACCTTCATTATGAAAAATATAAAAAAATACAAATATATTGAGCTCTCCTTTAATAATTTCGATTGAATAAAAGAAAAAAAGAAACAATACATAAATTATTATCGTGCTCTTAACTATTAATGAGCCTAAACAGTAATTTCTTATTATTATGTTTCTGTATGATTTCTAAGTGATTTATGTCCATTTATTCTTACTCAGTTTACTTACATAACTTAAATATTTCTTATTTATCCAGACAAATCTTGGTCATATATATATATATATATATATATATATATATATATATATTTGATTAAGATAGAAGATGAGATCGATGCCAGCTTTTAGGTAAGAGTTTAAACAAGTGACATGACCATGAGAAGAAATAATGGGCTTGTATTATATAGTTTTGTTTGTTTAATTCATAGATTATTTACTTTTAACAAAAGCAATACTCAGTAGATCTCGCTCTTATTTTTATCTATCATTGAATACATACACCTATCTTTATTACAATGTTAACATAACCCACAGAGCTATTGAAAATAGAAATGGGCCTATTGTCTGTTTTGTATCTGAATGGAAGTTTTCTGTAGAAATAAATGACTACCAGATAACTTGACAAACTAGTGTTCATTAGATCATATGGTGAGTATGGTGTGTTTTGAATATCTTAAGTCTTTACAAACCGGTTTATTGAATAATTATTCCATCCCGCATAATGGTTCACTTTACTACAGGAATCATTTATTTGTGTGAGAGCTGGGATACTGCTCGCGTGCCCAGACCAAAGCAGGTGACATTCTTAGGGGGCCACGACCGGAGCCTTTGACCTAAAGGTCTGATCCACAAGGCAATGGGGCCACGTAGCCAGTGACCAATTCGTATGCCATTTGTTCGCTCAGGGTCCAGAAGCCCATGTGCACCATTGGCTTGCAGTCTGGACTTTCCAACTCCGCTGAGTGGATCAACCGCATCCACCAACCAAGTTGAAGTGCAGGATATTCACTTTAAATCCTCTCAATTTC